AATCAGGGGACAGTCCGAGAGACATCACAGCTAACACCTCTGGGATGGACCCTGGAGCAGCTCGCTAGCTTGCCCAGGAAGTAACCAAAAGTGAAAAGAGAAAACAAATCTTAAGTATTTACGGACCACAGTTCTCTCCCTTGACAAACCTCAAACATTTTTTTCAGCAGAGAAGCAAGTTCTTCCTTTTGAAACAACCAAAGTGAATGGGAAACTTCCTTATTGTTTACTAATTCATCTCTCAACTTCAGTTTCATGTTACATCACCAGTAGGGTAATAATTTCATCTCTCTACCACCTTCAGGTGTGTCCCCAGTAAGCTTTAGATCTGAGAAAAGATACTCAGGACAACAGTTCCAACGTTTATGGTGAGTTTCTTTTTTGAACACCAAAATAGCAGGTTAGTAAGAACTATCAGATTAGGGAGGGGGGGGAGAGAGGGAGAGAGAGAGAGAGAAAGAAAGAGAGAGAGAGAGAGAGACAGAGAGAGACAGAGAGACAGAGACAGAGACAGAGAGTCAGAGACAGAGAGACAGAGAGACAGAGAGAGAGACAGAAGGGAGGGGAGGAGAGGGGAGAGAGAGCCAAAAATGAAGCAACTCCTTCAATTTGAAGAGCAGGCAACAGAGAAAATTGTATAGGATAATAAAATGTGTAAACAATGAATAGGTCTGAATTTAAAATTCTGTTTATTTATTTTTTATTCTTTCTTTCTTTATTTATTTATTTTGTGGAACTGGGGATTAAACTCAGGCCCTTGCGCTTGCCAGGGAAGTGCTTATTTTACTGAGCCATCCCCCTGGCTCCTGAGCCATCTCCCCAGTCCTAAAACTCTGAATACTTAGAAGACACAATATCTAACTTGGGAAGTAACAAACTGACACCCGAAACACAAACAATTAAGGCGTCTAACTTATAATCTTATCAGATTAACCAATTAAATCCACAAGAAGAACCAATATCTGAATACACACTTTGTATGGGAAAGCCATGTCACTGAGGTGAAAAATTATCACTTAAATCACATGTACACTTACAATGTTCAGAAAACTCCTCAGTCACTGTCATTTCATAAATAACCCTGAAATTTAAGATTGAATACAGATCCATTAAACTATAGGCATATCATGGTTCCCATGTAAAAACTGCCAAAGCCTTTACAGACATAAACAGTTAAATGTTACAAAAATCAAATTCAGCCCCTGCTCCCATACAACATCTAGAACACAGCTTTTTACTTGTGTTTGTTTGAAATTTCAATCTTAGGGAGAAAATGCCTGCGTACAATGGTGTCTGAGGTTTCTGAAGCGTACGCCTTGACATAAGCACGTTGTGCTTAAACAAAACTCTGTGAGTGTTATTCTAGAAACGGAGTCTCAGCAAGAAAGGCAAGAAAACAGACCTGTGAGGGCATGCTGCGGAATGTGCATGCTTTGGCCGGGAGACTCCAAATCAAGAACAAATTGCACCACATAATGGTTGGAAAAGTTACTTAAGTCAATGTCACCAATAACTTCACCAATAACAAAACATTTTTGTTTGTTGGATTTTTAGTCATAAAATGAGAGATGGGAGAAAAGACACATACATTACATTCTTCTGGCTGTTGATACTGAACTATTTATTTATTTGCAGCTCTAGGGACTCAACCAAGCGCCTTTATACTAAGCCACTTGTGAACTCCTTCCCACTAATTTTGTTTTGAGATGGCTTCTTAAGTTACCCACGGTGGGCTCCAGCTTGAGGTCTTCCTGCTTCAGCTTCCCAAAATGTCAGGATGACAAGTGTGAGCAACGAAGCCCAACTTGAACTCATTTTTAAACTCTCCAGTTAGGAATCAAATGGCGGAGCTTTGGGAAGAAAACTTAAGAAATCTCTGAAAACAGGAGGATCAGTACTACCTATTGCAGCATCCCTTTGATTACATACTCTTATATGTGAACAGTTTCCATGCATTTCTGAAATATTTGTAGAAGGACAGATGGCTGCATGGATGGATGACAGCCGTAGGAATGGCAGCCTCCAGCTGGCACATAGCCAGTGTACTGATCACTGAAGACCTGAGGGCCACAAGTTCTAAACCCAAATAGAGCAAAGGAACAAGGCCACACACTGGCTTTTGTGATCAGTATGGCAGGACCAGTTAGAGAGTGCACACAGGCCGTGCAGGCCACCACCCAGTGCCCATTTGGGTCTGGAGGAGGCTCTAAACTAGTTTGATGCAAACTACAGAGAACTCTGTAAAGAAGATGATAATTATTAACATTCACTAAAACAAAGAAGAAAGTCGATTTTTCTTGCTTTTTCTTGTCTTTAAATGTATTTGGTTTTTGGGATTCTGCTAATAAGTTAGAAGCTGATGTTTAAAAAAATCATGACTATCTGTGTGATAATGGCCAGAGTTCAGATGATTCTGGAGAGCTCTCGCTCAGGCCTTTTGACCCCAGGTGAGCTGGGACATGCACACATGCAGGAGGGGATGCGGGTTTCCAGGGCTCAGGCTGATCAGGGAACAAAGCCAGTGCAGAACAATTTAAGAAGCAGATCTGTGAGTATTCAAAACCATAGGACTGACTGATGGAACCCAAGGTCTTCTTGTGGAGCTATCTCCTCAGTCCTTGCTATATTTTGAGATAGGGTCTCATGAAGTCACTGAGTTACCCAAACTGGGCCAGAACTTGCCTCATCCTCCCACGGTGGCGGGATGGCAGGTGGGTGCCACTGTACTCTTATCTTGGGATTGGCTTTTGTTAAATCACAACCTCGTTCTCTGGTTGGTTTTCTCTCTAGGTTTCCTGACCACTGTTCCACTTAGGTTAACTGTGTTCCTAGTCACTTTCCACAGGATGGTCACAGCGAGGCTCAGGACCCACAACAAGAGTAGAAAACCTCCTAGGTGCATATCCTGGGGTGACAACTGCGCCCTCATGATGAGGCAGGAGGTGGTGACTACAAGTTGGTGACTATGATGGGGCCTCTCCTGACTGCACAGGGTACAGTGTCTTTCTTGTTCCTCCTTGCTTTGTTCCTTTCTGTCTGCCATGAACTGTCTCTCCTCTTCAATGCCACCCTTCCTTGGAGCTGGCTGATTAGAGACTGAAACCTCAACAAACTACGAGTGACATACACCCTTCCTTCTTTAACTTTCAGTATTGAGTATTCTGTCTCAGCAATAAGCAAAGTTACTAAAGACATGCACCTTCTCCCAAAGGTGTGGCTGTGGCCTCTTCCCTCACACACCTACACACACACATTCCCAGAGTACCATATGTTCACATCCTCCCACACATGTACTCACTCACAGCCACACATACTCTAAAGATGACGCAAAGCTGATGTGTCCTGAAATGTGCAGAAAACATTTCTACAAAATTACTATGAAAATTACCAAACAACAAATACTGCAGGCATTGATACTACTTCTGACCCAATAAACTGGGCTAATTTTTGCAAATGCCAGAAAAGGAAAACAAAATGACATGGATTTATTTTAAAGGGAAATAAACCTTCTGTGACTACATTGGAAAAATAATGGAAATATTCTGGCTCTGGCCCCAAGGTTGGTTTGTTTTTGGAGTAGTAGGGATTGAACCCATGGCCTTTGTACTGAGCTATATCACTGAAACTTTTTATTTTGAGAAAGCTTCTTGTTAAGTTGCTTGGGTTGAGCTTGAACCTGTGATCTTCCTACCACAACCTCCCAGAGTGCTGGGATAACTTGTACAAGCCACCATATCAGCTTCTAGTTCAGAGTTTAAATACTAAAAAGCAAGGCTTATCACTTATTTATTCCAAGAACAGTCATATTAAGATTTACTTTTGGCACTTTTTGTAAATTATTTCAACCCAAACATAAATATATCTCCCTAAGAGCAAATGCACATCCGGGCCCATCATCCAGCAGGTCTGAAAGCTAGGTCCCTCCCCCAATGTCACATCCAGCAGTGCCACTCAGGACATCAGCAGAGGGCAGCTGGAGGCACAGACTGGACGAGGTGGACAGGCACAGTGTTATAGCCAGCAGACGTCTCAGGAATCCCTGCTTTCAGAGGCAAAGGTTGCAGACTGATGCTCCCCTCCAAAGCCAATTCCAAGTCTCCAACTCTACATTTAAGAAAACTGTATATCAGCCTAGTACAACCTTTCTTGGAATAAATAATGATAAGTCCACTGGGAAACAGGAGGATGGAACCAGGATGACTCACACCAATCAGTGAGTCCCACTACACAGCACCCAAGAACTAGCCAGTTGGATGGTGGAAAAGTGGACTGAAAGCCAGGAGGCCAGGATGGCAGTAAAAGCTACAAAAATCAAAGGCACTACCTGTCTACCAGCAAGGACACAAAGGTTAGCACTAACCATCCTATTTGTGCACACCATCAGGTAGAATTGACTATACTACTCCATTCTTCAACCAGAGTGCCTCTGAACATTGAACATAACACATAGAAATAGTGACTCTATGTTGCCTCTGAAAATAATTAAATGAATTCAAATTGTATAAGCCAACTATGAAACACATCTTAGATCCTAATACTACACTAACGTTCAACTGTTGAATTTTAAAATCCTTTAGAGCAGACTACTTAAAATTGAAGAAGGGGGAGTTGTCACTAATTTTAACAAAGACAACTAGTGTGTCTTTTGTAAGAGCTAATTATTCAAAGAATATAGACTTTCCGTGTGAAATGCAAAGCATTTTGAACTCTCGCCAGACTAATCAAGTTGATTTCTAAAATGCCAAAACAGGAACTTCCTATAATAAATAACCTATCACTTTTACATCTCAAATTAGAAAATCTGGAAGAAAACGTGTAGGTCAAGTGCCAGAATGGAATTACTGAAGCTGTCCATTCTGTGCCTCCCTCCACCATCCACCTCACGCATTTTCTTCAGCCTCTTCTAGAACAAGCCCTGGTCCAGGTGGAAATGCTCAATTCCTAAGAAATTCAGGGGACAAAAAGATGACTGCAGGTTTCAGTGCGGTGCAGCCACTCACCATTGGAAGTTGTGCTGGAGGCCACCGCTTTCTCACTGACATCTGTTCGGGAGGGACATTTCACAATGGAATTCTCCACTTTCTTCTTCTCAGTTGTCGCAGAGCTGTGGGACTGGGCCTCCATGGTGTCTTCTCATTACTTCAGCTCTTCTCTAAGGGAAACACCTACAAAACATCACAAAGCCATCACCTTCCAGGAAAAGGAAAAGATGACCTCCTCCAAAGGCCCCTTCAAGGGTCAAATAAGAGACCAAAATTTTAGCAAACATTGAAATCTAAACCATGTTTCTCCACAGGTTTTTTTGGTAAAGAAAAAGTTTTTAAGTTTGGTTAACAAGTTAGGCAAAATATTGTCCACACACTCAAAAGGAAAACGGCGGTATTCCATTATGTGAATATTTTCCTGGGCACTGCCCATCAAATGGTCCAAACGCCACTCTCAGCAGTGTCCGCAGTGTGAAAGCCAAGTGTTACATGACCCATTTAAGCCATGTTTACCGTGGTCTCTTCAGGCAGCCAACTTTTGCTTCCATGTTTTAAAGAGCATCCCACAATGCTCACATCTACACCTTTTACTCAAAATTTCAGAATTAAGAGAATAATTCAAGCTAAGCAACTAATGATGTTTGCTTTTTTTTTTTTAGACAGGGTCTCACTATGCAGTTTGGGCTGGCTTAGTGCTCAATTCTGTAGCCGCCAGGCTGGTCTCAAACTTGCAGCGATCCTCCTGTCTAAACCTCTCAAGTGCTGGCATTATAGGCACAGGCCACCACGCCCGGTTCCAGGGCCCAGATGGCAGGGCCAGGGATTGAACTCGGGTTCTTGTGCTTGCCAGGTAGGTACTCATGCCTCTGAGCTATCTCCCCAGCCCCACTTCTTTCATTAAAAGATACCTGAGCAGCACTAAGCTTTTTAACCCAAAATCATTCAGGGGAACTATTTCCTAAAACATGAGATTCTTTCCATTCATTTGGGTTCCATTTTTTGAAACAAGGTAATAGAATAACATGCCTCCAGTCGCACAAGGAAAAGCCACAAAAGGTCACCAACAGCAAAGCCGAGGATCACTAAAAAACCTGAAAACTCCACTAGAGGCAGCTCAGTGCATCCATCTTTTACTGGCGTCATTCATGTGATAAATCCTAACTCATCATTCATCAATTTCCACCTTGCTTAGTCCATGTTCTTTTCTACAGTCCTGCTCTACACACACAAAGAATACAAGAAAAGATAAACAGTACCTTCTTTGGCATATTTTCTTCAAGCTCTCTGTATCGCAACACCATGGTGGGCATTTTATAATCCATCTTTACTTTTCTGCCTTAGCAGATTCCATAGATTTCAATAAGAGCAATGAATCCTAAAATAAAATAACCAACTGCTTCACCAGCTAAAAAAAGTTGAAATGCCAGATCACAGATATTCACTTTTACCTCCTATTTGTAAGGGAACTGCAAATTCTCTTAACATAAAATAAACTCCCCTTGACCTGGACTTCAAGTAAACAGAAGTATTAAGAAACAAGTCGCATGGTACTGTGGGCATCAGCCTTTCCACCAACTTCCAATTCTTTTCTAAGATTATCCAGTGTCATTCAGTGTAAAACACACAAGTTATTTAAGAACAGCTTTTGTGGAATAAAAAGAAAAAAGAAGCACCAAGTGAAATTTACATATCAATTGTAAGATCCACTCCAAATTCAGAAACATCCCTCAAAGGCAGTGACAAAGAGAGAAGAGTCAAGGAGCTGGAAATATCTTTAGCTGGCTCAAAGTGTGTCCAACACGGAGGACCACGGCTACCTGAGCTGTTCAGCACACTAATTCAGGCAACCTGTTGCTGAACCTTCATTGTGTTACTACTGGTCAATGAGAGAACCAAAATGTAGCACTTAATCCTTTTCACTAGAGGAGGGAGAGCACATCCTTTTTCAGAATGGGTTCAAAATTAAGACCCTTCTTCCAGAAAACAATCTCAAACGATGAAAACACAAGAATGTACATTTAAATTTCCAAAGGATCACAGATTTGCCCAAGTTTTTCCATAAATCCAGATTAAAAAAACCTTAAAAGAAAATGTTCAACTGTTCTTTCTCCCCCTAACAAATCCCAAAATAACTTGTTTTTTAATGTTTCCTCACATTAATTTAAATAACATCTCTGATATGCCACAAGACCACACAACCTCAGTCTACACCACTTTCTCAGAGTGGCAGGGAACCACTGGGATCAAGGCTGTTTTAGTGCTTGCTATGTGTCCTGTTCCAGAGTCCAATTTCTGAGGCCATGCCTACGTCCTGGGACAGATGGTGCCTGAGGACCCATATTTTAATAAGCAGTACTCACAATCAGGCTTGCTAAAGTTTTCCAACAACTGTTCTTTACGTTTGGTTTTGCTCATTGCTATGTACCAGGCAGGAAGACCACAGAAATCTTTGTTGACTCGGTACACTAATAAATGAAGTACACCACAGAATATTGAGTTCTCAGCTCCACCCAAGTCTCTCTTAGCACCCACCACAATGATAATCACCTAGAAAGGTCTTCACTGAACTTCCATTCCTCCTTCTAGATTGTGGAATAAATGTAAGCTTGGCCTTGCAAGTTATCAAGAGAAAGGTTTAACATTCTGGACACCCCAAATGAAACTGTGGAATGCTTGCCATGGAGTCCTTGCCCCTAAAGGACAGGACCAAGGTCTTCCCAGCACCTAGTGCACCTAAGAATGTGACTGTGGAAATAATCTATTACATCCATGGCTCTGTGATTTTGACCGTACAGTATCTTGTGTTTTAGTCCCACTGAGTAATCTACACATATTATATTCTACATATGGAATTTCTTTGAAAACTGGCGAAGTATATAAAAACCAGGTAGGGTAGTATATGCTTATAATCCCAGCACTCTGGGAGACGAAGGCAGGAGGACTGCAAGTTTTTTACCACAGTTGGGCAGTTTATGAAGTCTTTTCCTCAAAATTGAGTTTGTATATGAAGCCCTGGGTTCAATTCCCAGAAGCATCCTCACCAAAAAACAAAATAAAATAGCAGGAATACTTAACCAAAACATTGCACTTTTAGTCACTTGAAAGCAACAGCCTCTTACTATATTCAGTTTTCGGTATTTGGGTAGAGTTTACCAGTTGAATTTTTGTAATGGGCTAAGTTAAAACTTTACACAGAAATGTACAAATGGACCAGAAAATCCCATTAAGTGATAGGACACCTAGAGAAAACTAAGTCTCCTCTCTAGCACAGGAAGATCATTAACAGTAGTGAAAAGGTAAGTCACTGAAGTTCCTTGACAAACTTGGTTTGTGTGGAGTTGTTGGGTTTTCCCCCAAGGCAAAGGACTTCATTGGAAGAAAGCACTGCAGCCCTCCCCATAGCATCTGAGTGAAAAAAAAAAGGCTCTTGCAAGAAGTGGTAAAGCTCCAGGCGCTGCCTGCAATCACACTAATTAATAATCTTAGCGAATACTAATTCATACCCCTGTTTGAAATGGATTTTTTAAAAAATAGGCCCTCGGTCACCGAAGCCTCTACCCCCTTCTTCTATTTTGACAACTTATTTTTGGATCTCATTAGTTAGTAACTAATTATTTAAAAGTGTGGTTGATGTGTGGAACACGGCTAGAAAAATGGCAACTTGCCAAGGCAGACATCTGCTTTCTGTATATCCCTATGAATTCTATCTGCTTATTTTACCGATAAAAACCTGTAAGTTTGGCTAGGTGAGTTATCTAGAGAAAGGCTTAACATTGTGGACACCCACACTCGGTCAAGTTGTGATGCAGGAGGAATGGAGGGGCAGAAAAGGATGGCTGCTTCTAGCAGAGATGACAGGCGTCACAGGACAGGAACAGGCTCCAAAACTCAGCACTGAGATGAGCATTACAGCCTTAGATCAGGGCTGCCCAGCGAACACTCACCAGAGTCCTTATCCCTATGGGACAGCAGCCCTCGAGTGCGGGGCCTTCAAAAATAGTAACTTCTAACTTTCACAGAACTTAAGTGCCAAGGTAAAATTTTAAGTTCTGCTTCACTTCAAGGACTTTTGTCTAAGGACATCCTGCCACTCCTTTGTGGAAGCCAGTAAGTGAAATGAGACTTTTTACCACTGATACAGTTTCCCTGCTTACAATGTCACACTGTCCCCTGGAATCCCTTTCCCAGGAAACACTATCCGCAAGATGCGCTGGTGTGCCTCTTGACTTTTCAGTCTCAGCAGCCTGAGCACCTGGGGAAGAAAAACAAAAACAAAAACAAAACAAGAAAAAGGGCTCTCCAGGTACATGCTTTCCTAAGGCTTGAAGTTTCACTGGTAAAAGCAAAGGGACAAACATTCCTTCCAGAAAGCAGTGCGGGCTTTTCTCATTCAACCACCCCTGAACACTTGGTTATTTCCCTGAGGCCAAAACCCAGTGCACAATTAATTCCAGATCCTATTTAAACCTAATCCCTTTCCCCACTAGCAACCTGCCTGCAGGTGGGTCTTTTCTTCCTAAATTATAAATCGGAATCTGCACCAATCTCCTGTAAAACAAAGCATATAAAGCGTCCTGCAACCGCTGAGCAGGTGAAGCTGCAGCACACAGCTGCATTTGAAAGTAAGCAAAGTGGGGGAAAAGCAGTGAAGTGTTGACCAATAGGGAGAGTTCGTACAGAGCACCCACATTTTCAGTGGCCTCAAGTCTTCCACTTCGAGGTTGTGGCTCCTTAGACATGTAACAGGGGAAGGATAGGCAATCCAAAAAGCAAACATTCATCCTTACAAAGGTGAGAGGCGTCTCCATTTGTTAGGATTCTGACGTTGGTCAGACTACGTGGCTATGGTCCACTTGGTCTGAAAGCTGTCCCACTGGAAGTCTTCCTGTCCGGGCACTTGGGATGCGGGTAACACGGGTTTTTCACACCCTAAACGCTCCCCACCCCCTCCGCGCCTGCGTCCTGGCTGTTCCCGGTGCCCCTCTCAGAGGCCAATTCATTAGGAGCGCAGGCGGGCGCGCTCAGTGCTGCTGCACCCATCATCATTACACCAGCGCGGGGACGTCCACACGGTGCTCGGAGCCCAGGCCCCAACAGCGCGCCGGGAATTTCTCAGAAAGGGCTCTGGGTGTCTGGGGGCAGAGGCCAGAGGCGTTGTTCTCCTGGGACCCACTTTGATC